CCATCTACCCAATACCTCCATCTCCCCATCTACTACTCCCCTACTCTGTTTTTAACTGACAAATCCATATTTTCCCTAGGCTTTCTTAACTTGTTTAACTCACTCCAAAATTTTTTCTTATTTTCATTAAAATTTCTTGACAGTGCCTCTCCCACTCTATCATCTGCTCTCCTTTTGCACTCTCTCACCACTCTCTTTACCTTTCTTTTACTCTCCATATACTCTGCTCTTCTTATAACACTTCTGCTTTGTAAAAACCTCTCATAAGCTACCTTTTTCTCTTTTATCACACCCTTTACTTCATCATTCCACCAATCACTCCTCTTTCCTCCTGCCCCCACCCTCCTATAAACACACAAACTTCTGCCCCACATTCTAATACTGCATTTTTAAAACTATTCCAAACCCTCTTCAAACCCCCCCACTACTCATCTTTGCACTAGCCCACCTTTCTGCCAATAGTCGCTTATATCTCCACCCGAACTTCCTCCTCCCTTAGTTTATACACTTTCCTTCCCTCTTACTTGTTGTTGTCACTTCCTCTTTTCCCATCTACCTCTTACTCTAACTGTAGCTACAACTAAATATGATCCGATATATCAGTTTGCCCCTCTATAAACATGTACATCCTGGAGCCTACCCATCAACCTTTTATCCACCAATACATAATCTAATAAACTACTTTCATTACGTGCTACATCATACCTTGTATATTTATTTATCCTCTTTTTCATAAAATATGTATTACTTATTACCAAATTTCTTTCTACACATAGCTCAATTAAAGGCTCCCCATTTACATTTACCCCTGGCACCCCAAATTTACCTACTACTTCCCTCCATAACATTTTTACCCACTTTAGCATTAAAATCCCCAACCACCATTACTCTCACACTTGATTCAAAACTCCCCACGCATTCACTCAACATTTCCCAAAACTCTCTCTCTCTCCTCTACACTTCTCTCTTCTCCAGGTGCATACACGCTTATTATAACCCACTTTTCACATCCAATCTTTATTTTACTCCACATAATCCTTGAATTAATACATTTATAGTCCCTCTTTTCCTGCCATAGCTTATCCTTCAACATTATTGCTACTCCTTCTTTAGCTCTAACTCTATTTGAAACCCCTGACCTAATCCCATTTATTCCTCTCCACTGAAACTCTCCCACCCCCTTCAGCTTTGTTTCACTTAAAGCCAGGACATCCAGCTTCTTCTCATTCATAACATCCACAATCATCTCTTTCTTATCAATCTGCACAACATCCCACGCACATTCAGACTTCCCACTTTGACAATTTTTTCTTCTTATTATTTTTTAGTAATCTTTACAGGAAAAGGGGTTACTAGCCCATTGTTCCCGGCATTTTAGTTGACTTTTACAACACGCATGGCTTACGGAGAAAGATTCTTATTCCACTTCCCCATGGATATAAAAGGAAAATTAATAAGACCAAGAACTATTAAGATAAAATCAAAGAAAACTCAGATGAGTGTGTATAAATAAATGTGTACATGTATGTGTAGTGTGACCTAAGTGTAAGTAGAAGTAGCAAGACATGCCTGTAATCTTGCATATTTATGAGACAGACAAAAGACATCAGCAATCCTACCATCATGTAAAACAATCACAGGCTTCGTTTTACACTCACTTGGCAGGACGGTAGTACCTCCCTGGGTGGTTGCCTTGATATATGAGTATATTATGTATGATTCCATCTTCACTTACACGACAAAAAAGTTTGAAACCCCACTTATCTGGTTTGGTTTTGATGTACTGCCTTAGGTTTCCAGCAGTTTTACCCTTGAAAGCAACCATGATTTAATCAATAGATTGCTTGGGTGTAGCTGGAACTTTCAAGCAAGCATTAGTTAGTGCAGTGTAAACAGGCCTTATTTTGTGGAATCTGTCATTATCCTTTTGTGTTGTCATTGAAATGAATAGTACATCTAAGTAACCTAAACCTCTTAGACCCCATGACTTCTGCAACCTGGGGGCATCTAAATGCACTTGTCCAATAGTCTGCGATTGATGGTAATGCAGAAATACCCATGAAAAACAAAACACCTATGAACCTCATGAGCTCTTCAGAATCTGTTGCAAAATTAGTAATTATGCTTTTTTGCTTGGCATGCAAATTTGTTTGATATGCTATGTTATCTACCATATCTGGAGTAAAGAAAACACGAAAATACTCACATGGTGACCTAATTTCAAGAGGCTTTTCATGTTCATATGCCAGCAAAGGATCATTTGGAGGTCAACCTGGGACCACTGAGATTGACCTTGAAGAGCAATATCATCATAAATATGTTCCTCATCAGGGTACTCCTCGATCGTAATACCTTTCTTTTTCTTCACTAATTTCTGCTTTTTGGCTGGCCTTTCTTCCTCATCATCACTTGACACTTCTGCATCCAGTGGCAAGTATTCATCACTGCTGTCCAGCAATTTTGGGTCATCTACCTCCAGTTGGGAGTTACTGTCCTCCAAAATGCAGACATATTTTGACCTGGTGCTGGAGGGCTCCCCATAAAACAATTTCTCATTGATCTGGAAGGACAATAAAAACCTTCTTTATAGATCCAGACCACTACAGAATTCATATACGCAGTAGAAAACTTTTCATAAATATTTATTTTACTGAAAGTGAACTATGTCACTAAAAGGGCAGAGACGAAAATTTTTGCCCTTCCTTTGTTGCACTTTTTTCAACTGCATGCTACACTCACATTGTGCTTCACACGGACTTTATGTATATATCAAAATATGCCTAAACTACTCATGCACGCACTAAATACAACAATCAGTACTTACCAACATTGTAGAGGGTAAAATCCAAGAGTATATTAGTGACACTGGATGGAAAAACCCACTCTGGGTGACGCCAAGCCACAAGTGTTTACATTTTGTTCTCTCAACCAATGGGAAGCCGGCAAACACCATCACCACTTAGCTGAAGTGACTCGGGGAAGGCTTGCGATTGGTTAGAATTAAAGAATGGGAATCCAGATGCGCGACGCGAGTAGGATGACACGCACAAAGGTGCACGTGTTTAAGGGCGAAAATTTTCACCTCTGCCCGATAAAGGGTTGGCAGTGTTGAAGTACCAAAGGTGGATCTTTGGGCCTCCAGCGGATTCACAGTCGAGTGTAGTGAACGTGACCTTGTGACCTTGTTTGTTTGTTTGTGGTCACCTGACCTTCCTAGAGCTGCCACTGAATGGTTATCTTACATCCTTGTCCAGTGTAGATTGTTATCCATAATCTAGTTCAAGGTAGGTAGGGATCTAACTTAGGCCGTGGTATTTGGTTTGGATTATCAAGTGTCAGTACCAGAGCTAATAAAACATGGTGTCATCTATGTGGGGTAAGAAGCAGTGGGGCTTGCGTTTGCTCCACCAGAGGCTGTGCGTGCTGAATATTACAATCTGGATAATGGACCAGGTGTCGTGAGAGACATCAGATGGGTAAGAAACCAGTATGCTTAACAGTAATATAGCCCAGTCAAAGGGGATATTTAGACCTGAGATACCTGGGGTCTAAATGAACTCGACTGACATGTGATTAATTAGTGCCGATCAAAGTAGAACCCAACTAATTAGCAACAACATAAACATGGCAAGAGGTGTGGGATTAAAAGATAAAGAATCTAACTCAAAGTGGGATCTGTCACAGTTGCTCTTTGCTGATGACACTGTGCTTTTGGGAGATTCTGAAGAGAAGTTGCAGAGGTTGGTGGATAAGTTTGGTAGGGTATGTAAAAGAAGAAAATTAAAAGTGAATATAGGAAAGAGTAAAGTGATGAGGATAAAAAAATTTGGTGATGAAAGATTGGATATCAGATTGGAGGGAGAGAGTATGGAGGAGGTGAATGTATTCAGATATTTACGAGTGGACGTGTCAGTAGATGGGTCTTTGAAAGATGAGGTGAATCATAGAATTGATGAGAGGAAAAAGGTGAGTGGTGCACTTAGGAGTCTGTGGAGACAAAGAACTTTGTCCATGGAAGCAAAGAGGGGAATGTATGAGAGTATAGTTATACCAACATTCTTATATGAGTGTGAAACATGGGTGGTGAATGTTGCAACAAGAAGGCTGGAGGCAATGGATGTGTCATGTCTGAGAGCAATGTGTGGTGTGAATATAATGCAGAGAATTCGTAGTTTGGAAATTAGAAGGTATGGGATTACCAACACTATTATCCAGAGGGCTGAGGAGGGGTTGTTTAGGTAGTTCGGACATGTAGACTGGATGGAAGGAAATTGAATGACTTTGAGAGTGTGTAAATCTGTAGTGGAGGGAAGGCAAGGTAAGGGTTGGCATAGGAAAGGTTGGAGGGAGGGGGGGTAAAGGAAGTTTTGTGTGCGAGGGGCTTGGACTTCCAGCAAGCATGTGTTAGCATGTTAGTTAGGAGCAAATGGTGACATATGGTTTTTAGGACTTGCTGTGCTATTGGAGTGTGAGCAAGGCAACATTTATGAAGGGATTCAGGGAAACCAGCAGGCCGGACTTGAGTCCTGGAGGTGGGAAGTACAGTGCCTGCACTCTGAAGTAGGGGTGTTAATATTGCACTTTTATAACTGTAGTGTAAGTGCACTTCTGGCAAGAAAGTGATGGAGTGAATGATGATGAAAGTTTTTCTTTTTCAGGCCACCTTGCCTTGGTGGGAGATGGCCAATGTGTTAATAAAAAATGAAAATAAGCATGTTCATGGTAATATCTATGAAAGAACTAGAATTTTGTAAAGTAAAAGGACACAAGTGCAACTAATGTGACATTTTATTGTGGCAACGTTTCGCTCTCCAGGAGCTTTATCAAGCTCCTGGAGAGCGAAACGTTGCCACAATAAAATGTCACACTAGTTGCACTAGTCCTTTTACTTTACATATTGTCGGTAATTCTACCAACTTTATCACAACTAGAATTTTCCTTCATTTTCCATCAATTGGAAAAAAAATTGTCACTTATAAAATAAATCTCTCTCTCCTCAGGGACATCTTGTGGATACAACTTGTGTTTCTCCCATACTGGATACTCCAGTATATATCTTGGTATATACGCTGGGTGTGGAAATTCTGGATTATGAAGGAGGATTATGGTGAAGAAGAGAAGTTGTATATGATTCGCAAGTTCATGGGACTTAGTCATGGACAGTTTGAAGTAAGTTTGTACTCGTTTTTAGTTAAGTATTTTTTTTTTAACACGGCTATTTCCCACCGAGGCAGAGTGACCCAAAAAGAAAAAAATCACAAAAAGAATGAAAAAACTTTCATCATCATTCAACATCATTCATACATAATCACTGTCTTTACAGAGGTGCTCAGAAATGACAGTTTAGATGTCCCTCCAAACAACCAATATTGCAAACCCCTCCTTTAAAGTGCAGGCATTGTACTTCCCACCTCCAGGACTCAAGTTCGACTAACCTGTTTCCCTGAATCCCTCCACACAATATTACCCTGCTCACACTCCAACAGCTTGTCAGGCCCCAAAAACCATTCATCTCCATTCATTCCTATCTAACATTCTCATGAACACTTCCTGGAAGTCCGAGCCCGTTGCCCACAAAACCTCCTTTACCCCCTCCCTCCAACCTTTCTTAGGACGACCCCTACCCCGCCTCCCTTCCCCTACAGATTTATACGCTGTCCAAGTCATTCTACTTTGTTCCATCCTCTCTAAATGACCAAACCATCTCAACAACCCCTCTTCAGCCCTCTGACTAATACTTTTAGTAATTCCAAATCTCCTCTTAATTTCCAGACTATGAATTCTCTGCATAATATTTACACCACACATTGCCCTTAGACATGACATCTCCACTGCATCCAGCCTCCTCCTCACTGCAGCATTTACAACCCAAGCTTCACTCCCATATAAGTGTGTTGGTACTGCTATACTCTTGTACATTCCCATCTTTGCCTCCATGGATAACATTTTTTGTCTCCACAGATAACTCAAAGCACCACTCACCTTTTTTCCTTCATCAGTTCTATAGTTAATCTCATCCTTCATAAACCCATCTGCTGACAAATCAACTCACAAATATCTGAACACATTCACTTCTTCCATACTTCCTCCCTCCAGTGTGATATCCATTTTTTTTTTTTATCTAAATCGTTTGATACACTCATCACTGTACTCTTATCATTATTCACTTTCAACTTTCTACCTTAACACATTTACATATCTCATGTCAAAGAAACATTGTACAGTAGGCCTTCCATATATGAAGGGATACGTTCCAAGGACCTGCTGCAGATATAGAAACTGTGAATAGTAGCAAACTATATATATAAGTCCTATACATACCTATTATAAAGTTTAATTGATAAATTATGCACAATATGTGGAGAATTATCACTTTTCACTGATGGGAAGCATTTCACGGCTTCTCTTAGGCTTTGAAGAACTGCCAGCTTCTCAACTTTTGTGCTTTGGTGCCATTATTGTGCAAAATTAAGAGGTATTTTTGGGCGACAGTAAACCGTGCATAACTGAAACCACTGATACCAAATCAGTGGTTATCAGGGTTCTACTGTATAAGATTTGTATTTTTTTTTCTAATACCATACTGTATATTATGCTATAAGACTTTGATAGTTATTCTTGACATACTACTCAACAAATACTTGTTTAATAATGTGACCAGGCAAAGTATAGTACACCACCGATTTTCCAGCAGCCCTGATTCCAAAGCTTTGCCAGACTAACTGCTTTGCCTAACCAACGGTGGTCACCTTTATCAACACACGCTAACCCACTGATTACACATGCACTTCCCATGTGTCTCTAAAGCACCATGGACTGCTAGAACCTTGAATTAAAGAAATTCTAAATGTAAACTAAATAAACAAGATTTTTTTAACAAGAAACTTTATTTATCAGTCTAGAAGTTGAGAGCTGTCATGATTACTGTGTTTTGTAGTTGAACATTTCATCTTGGATTTGTGATGTTGCAGGTGTGACATCCGGCCTGCTTGAAGCTGAAGCAACAGGGCACACATTCTTTTTGGCAATTTTTTTAAACATTTCAACATGCAAAATTGCTTCATTTCTTTGAGCTTTCCCTGGTAATTTTTCATGCAACGAATGCAGATTCATTAGTTCTTGTTCCATAAAGGTGGTATGTTTTCCTAGGTTTTCCTGGTGGCTAAAGCTCCCGCTTCACACACGGTGGGCCCGGGTTCAATTCCCAGCGGGTGGAAACATTTTGACATGTTTCCTTACACCTGTTGTCCTGTTCACCTAACAGCAAATAGGTACCTGGGTGTTAGTCGACTGGTGTGGGTCGCATCCTGGGGGACAAGATTGAGGACCCCAATGGAAATAAGTTAGACAGTCCTCGGTGATGCCCTGACTTTCTTGAGTTATCCTGGGTGGCTAACCCTCCAGGGTTAAAAATCCGAACAAAATCTTATCTTACCCATTGATTAATTCACTTATCAACTCAATTAACTTGTCATCTATCAGTTGATGCCATCTGTGGGCCGCCCAGGAAACTGGTCTAGTGGGTGGGGAAATTTCAAGTTCCCGCTCATGATTTTGTCCTGATTAGAGGAAGTGCAGGACCATCCATTGCTGGAAAATCGGTGGTGTACCTATGGCTGTTTAATGATGTGACCAGGCAAAGTAGTTTTGTTTCTAAATTTTAATAATGAAATCTGTTAAGTTATTCATTTTTATTCTGATGTTTAAATTATTTAATTTTTAGTAACCCAGGCCTTGAAAAAAGATTGATATAGTGTATGTAGTATTTCAAATCAGTGTACACCTTAATTTAATATTGCAGAACCTGGAAGAAAATATAAAAATAGACTACTTAAAGCAAGAACTATGGATTAGAGAAAATTACGAAGCATGGAAAGCTGAGCGTGATGCAGAAATGAAGATGAAAATGGCACAGTCAGGCCGATACAAGTCATATCGTCGTTATATGAAAGCCAATGGACCTGGTCGCATGTACTTTGACGACTCCTAAATTTAGTACATATAAGTAATATATTATTTTATAAATATAGGGTAACTTTACTGTTAAGTAATGCCAAGAATATTAATAATTTTACTGTTACGAAATAATGCCAAGGGCATGCAAAAGCCTTGTAATGGCTTTAATGATGCACTTCAACTGTTGTATAGATTATACAGTAGGTTTGTTATACTGCATCACATAATATAAGGTTATTACTTAGCATGAAGGATGCTTCTTTAATGATATGGCAGGTGTATAGTTAAACTCAAGGTAAAGTTCTTGCATGGAGTCATTTGAACTTTTCCAATTTGATAGGTTAAGTCTTTGCTTATTCAAACTTGATCCTAGTGTTTATTGTTGCTTATTAGTTGTAATATATTGTCGAAGAATGTTACACAACTGTTATTTATGTACCAATATGTTGTGGGTCAAAGCCACTTGGTATTTGTGTTAAATATTAAGTGCCATACCTGCATCTTGAGTTATCATCTTCATAAAAAATATATTTTTAACTCATCCTTTAGTATTATTGGTTGGGCAACATTGAATTGTTTCTTTCTGACAAATACAGGTGCTGTGTAAGGCAAAAGATCAATTGTAGACTTGTATGAAACAGATATTTCTTTTCCTTTTTTTATTATTGTGAAAATAAATGAAGCCAATCATTTATATTAATTCAACATGATATTTTGATTTTTTAGCCCAAATGCCATTAAAAACATGGTTGAAATCATTGGTAATACAGAGAAGATGCAGAGAGACTATAATAACTGTAATAATGGTGTCCATCTTGCCTGTAGTAAATTACACTGGTCAACACCAAGTTAAACTGTATTTTCTCATCAGAGATTTAAACACATTTTCTGAACAATATTAAATGCTGATTCTAAATGTTATTTTTTCCCAGCTCTAGTTTTCAAAAAATGACAATTTTATATTTTGTTTAACAGGATTTAGGATGTAATAAATTTTTATAATTTAATACTGCAATGTGCATCATTCATTTTTTAAATGTGTGTTATGTGCATTCCTTATAAAGAGAAATATACAATAACCTGCAAACAGTGAGAGTATGATTTTTTTTATGTAAGCTTTGGACTGTTGCAGTGCAGCATCCAGCAGTAGTCTGCCATTATATTTCCTCTCCAGAAACCTCGGTAGCCATTTTCCACGACCTAAAATTTTTTATGAACGTGTTTTCCCTGCTTGTCACTCACAAGGCTAAGATTTTCGGGAATGATATCTAGGTTAGGTGTAGACGTAAAAAGGCATATTTTCTAGGATATGTGACGCCCCGTTACTTTATATGCATCAAACAGATTCTGGACTTCCATCCATTGCTTTTCTTTTAATTCTAATACATTGAGGTTTTCTTCAAAGTCACCATCCCTTAGAACCCTAATTTGTGGACCAATAAAATAATACCCTCCTTTACATTTGGAAATTTCTTAACAAGGTATTGAAACCCATTAGAATGCATTTTACCCACCACTTTTAAGAAAAAAAAATTCATTAAGCTAAGCTTAATGTGGAGAAGTAACATCAACAAGTGCAACACAGTGGATCTTGCTCGTTCCTGGCTCGTATGTGATTTTTAATTTTCTGTCATGCCTAATGTAATGATCTGCACTAGCATGGCTGTCCCATAGGCATGGGAAATGAACTTAACTATGTCCTTCATTGAGAACCCAGTTAGGTTCATACTACAAAAGTAACAATTGGCATGATGATCTCTCAGCTGACTCCATATCATAGCCTCTTCAAGGGGGGGCTCCTTGGTGCAGTGAAGAGGCTCTTGGTCTGAGGAATTAGACCTTTTGGTCTCCTCCTCAGACCAAACCTAATTACCCCCCCCAATCCCCCCTTCCCTATCCCATCCTCCCCAAGCCCCTTTTGCCCTTTCCACCTCCTCTCCCCATCCCTTCCCTATCCCCTTTCAATTTTCAGCCTTTGGGATTCTTCCCACAGACACTAGTTCTTAGGTAGAGGGAAGGGTACTGTGGTTCATCCCATTCTGTTGAGGTCCATGGTGGTGATGTACTTTGCCATGTAATCTGGATTGCCTGGGGATATCCCACTCCCTCTCCAGTCTCTGGTGGGGACTTTGGGTGTCTTTCTGGTAATGAGTGTATCTCTGGAAGCTGCCTTTCAGATTCCAGGGGTGGTGGCCGAAAGAGGTATGCTTTGTGGCAGGTATCTGGCCGCTCCCTCCATGTTCCACCTTTTTTTTTTCTTTTCTTTTATTTTCCTTTTTTTTTTCTAAAAAACAATAAGAAAAGTGACATAACCATAGAGTCCCAAGTCCATGAAACAGCTCCCCCTGGGCCCCTTTCTGCTTCTGCACCTCGTTCTGACCCTACTTCATTATTTGACCACTCTTCAGACATTTCTCTTGCCCTGTACCTACTGCTGGTGCTGTTTCATCATCCACTCCAGGTACATCTGACCTCCGCATTTCTTTGACCACGCTTCTGGCTTCTCCCTCTACAATGCGGCACCTTTTGGATTGCCTGCCCGTCCCACGTCGAACCAACTCGGGTCCCACACCTAAACGCCCAAGACCATTACCTGATGATACTCCTTTACTTCCTTCTCATTCTGCCCAGAAAAGACCAGCATGACACTCACTTCCCTTACATGCTATGTTTCAAAATACACAATGGACTAAGTATTTTACTCTGCGACCGACGACTTCTTCTGACTATCCGATCATAGTACAGTGGACCCCCGCATAGCGACCTTAATCCGTGCAAGAGGGCTGGTTGTTATGCGAAATGTTCGGTATGCGAATGAATTTTCCCCATAAGAAATAATGGAAATCAAATTAATCCGTGCAAGACACCCAAAAGTCTGAAAAAAAAAATTTTACCACATGAAATAATTTTCCTACACACAAAGAGAAGGATACATGCACAATAGTAGAGTAGTACATGCACAATATATATTGTGCATGTACTACTCTACTAAATGAAGAATAAATGACACTTACCTTTATTGAAGATGCAGCAATGACTGATTAGACACTGTGTCCTGGGAGTGCCTTTTCCTCCTGAGTACTGTAGGTCCTGTTTGGTATTTTCTTCCAGAACAGGCCTTATCACACTGTGTATGCCACTACGATTCTTAAATCTCTCAAACCAACCTTTGCTGGCTCTAAATTCACCAATATGAGCACTAGTTCCAGGCATTTTCCCTGTTCACCTGGGTGTTAGTCGACTGGTGTGGGTTGCATCCTGGGAGACAAGATTAAGGACCCCAATGGAAATAAGTTAGACAGTCTTCGATGACACTGACTTTTTTGGGTTATCCTGGGTGGCAAATCCTCTGGGGTTAATTGTTTCTTGGTATTCTCAATAAGCCACACCAACAACGGTGCTACAGCAGCAGCAGCAGCTGACGGTGGTACAGCAGCAACAGACGATGCTACAGCAGCAACAGACGATGCTACAGCAGCAGCAGACGATGCTACAGCAGCAGCAGACGATGCTACAGCCATGCTAAGCAGGAGACAGCAGCAGACAGACTGCTACAGCAGGAGCAGACGATGCTACAGCAGCAGCAGACGATGCTACAGCAGCAGCAGACGATGCTACAGCAGCAGCAGACGATGCTACAGCAGCAGCAGACGATGCTACAGCAGCAACAGACGATGCTACAGCAGCAGCAGACGATGCTACAGCAGCAGCAGACGATGCTACAGCAGCAGCAGACGATGCTACAGCAGCAGCAGACGATGCTACAGCAGCAGCAGACGATGCTACAGCAGCAACAGACGATGCTACAGCAGCAACAGACGATGCTACAGCAGCAGCAGACGATGCTACAGCAGCAGACAGCACAGCACCAACGATGCTACAGCAGCAGCAGACGGTACTACAGCAGCAGCAGCAGCTGATGTGGTGGTACAGCAGCAGCAGCTGACAGTGCAGCAGCAGCTGACGGTGGTACAGCAGCAGCTGTACCACCAATAGTAGCGATGGTTGATTGGGGTTTATTATACAACCTGGCCAGCTCGGAGACAACGCACTCCACTTTCATACTTATCAATGATCTTTTTCTTCATCTCCATAGTAATTCTCACCCTTATTGCTGTAGGGTTGGCACTAGAAGCTTTCTTGGGGCCCAGGGTCACTTATTTTCCAGAAAAAATCACCAAAAACACTGTAATAATACGAAATGTTCCGATTGTATGCTTGGATGTTACCGCGGAGGCTGGCTGGTAAACAATGCCACCGGCGGAACATGTGAGCGTGGCTCAGGCCGCACATTGGACGCGTCTCGGACGAAGGGCGGTGAGCGGGTTTTTGGGCGGTATGCGAGGCAAAATTTTTGCGATCAAAGCGTCCGGTATGCGGATTGTACGGTATGCGATGCGTCCGGTATGCGGGGGTCCACTGTATTGGCAACATGCTCCTATGCTATGTTGGTCGAGATATATCCTTTCATGCTCTCGAGAGCGGTGCACGCATCATCATTGTCCAGAATGCTAGCCAAGCTCATGATCTTTCTCCCCTTACAACCATAGATGCTGTTCCTGTAACAATTGAAAAAGATAATTTCTCAATTCTTGTAGTGGTACTGTCATTCTACCTCTTACCATTGTCCAACAGAATTTCCAGACATATGGTGATGACATTCTGGAGCAGCTTGAGCTCCACGACCTCCCAATCCTCAAAATAGACACTTATGTCCTCCCTGCCCACAGGCAGAAACAATACCCTTGCAATGTAGCTCGCTTAACCCTTTGACTGTTTACGCCATATAAATACGTCTTGGGCACCACTGTTTCTGACGTATCTATACGCATAAATTCTAGCGGCTTCAAATCAAGCAGGAGAAAGCTGGTAGGCCCACATGTGAGAGAATGGGTCTCCATGGTCAGTGTGCACCATATAAAAAAATCAGGGAGCCAGTGGTGCATTGTGGGAATGCCATTTCTCTTGTCCTTTTTCAGCATGCCTAGCGGTAAGAAATATGTGATTCCCCAACAAATCTGGGACTCATCTCTTCCCAAGTGATGCTCTAACACAGATGGAAGTGTCAGTGAAGATTAATTTGATGGTTTTGAGGAGTTTGAGACCAAAAGCAATACCCAGGATACCAGAAGAATGGAGGAGGAGGAGGAAGAAGGTTGGAGGAAGGAAGGAGGAGGAAGGAAGAGGAAGAGGAAGGAGGAGGAGAAAGAAAGAAAGGAGGAGGAAGAAGAAGAAGAAGAAGATGTGCCCTTGAAGCATGGAAAACAGTTCACCCCATGACAGTGACAAGATAAGGGGAGATAACATCTGATAAGAGCTGACGTTTGATGAGCGTAAACGAGGGTGGAGGGAGGGTGCAGCTGATAAGGAAAGGTTAGATGACCATCCCCCTAGCTTTGTTTTTGCTGGTACACAAACATTTCTGTCTGTCTATTTGTCTGCCAAGCTCCCTGTCTATCTGTCTAGCTCTCTGTCTCAGAGTGAGCCACAAGACTGCGTCATCACGTTTACTCACATTTTCAAGCAGAGTATAGCACTTTGTCTGGATTTCTTGGGTTATCCTAGGTAATTTACACTATGTATACTTGTATTTATGTGTACCTGTGAGACAGATAGACAGACAGATAGAAAGAGAGACAGATTGAAAGAGATAGAATGAGGGAGAAAGATAATTAGATAGAATGGAGGGGAAGCAGCATCTGACCCCATTGTTTTGACAGGGGGGAGGGGGAGTGAGTAATGAGATAAATGTCATTTTGACATCTGCCGACCCCTACTCAAAACAATTATAAGCCACACACTGGCACACAAGAAAAGCTTGCTGAATGCAGATAATAGCAGTTATATGAAAGTATCTAGTGACTATATATGTGTATATATATTATAGAAACCAGAAGCAAGAAGGGAAGGCAGAAATGAAGGAAGGACAGATGAAGGAATGTAAGGAGAGGTAGGAAAGGAATAGAGGAAAGTAGGAAGGAAGGAATGATGACACACGACCATTTAC